TTTTCCCATCAATGTTTTATGTATCCATTTTTTTTTTTAAATCGATACTAAGAAGTGAAAGATCGATATTATATTGGGCAGCCGAATATCACGATATATCGCCAAAACGATTATTTCCCACACCCCTAGTACCAACAGATAGGGCACTGATACCATTTTGAGAGCAAAAGGTTTATTCAACTATTGTCACCCATTCCAGGTAGGCAATAAAAAGTTCTACTGGATTCACTTTGTATTAGTCCTTTCCCTGCTTCACAAAGGTAGGCAGCAGCTTGACAAAGCCATGATGGCAATTATTTTACATTCAAGTAGATCTTCATATATATACACACACACACAGCAATTTCAAACAGATGTTATCGATGTGGTATCGGTATGGGCCGATACTGCACAGCCAGGTATAGGGTATCAATATCGGGGACAAAAAATGGCATTGGCGCAACACTAATTATAAATGTAAATCTTGGATGGAATCCAAATGTAGACAGCCATCATGGTGATTTTGTGAATTTGGAATATTTTGAAAGTAAAAAAAGCTAACATCCATACTGGCAAGAAAAGCTGATAGGGCTGGGTGATGTGGTTTAAAATCTAATCTCTTTTTTTCCTTGCAAATATGATTAATCAATTAACTTATGCATTTATTTTTCCGCTTATGATTTTTAATTCACTCAAAAGTCTCACACGTCTTTCAAAAACTACATGTATTGCAGATAATATCGCCATTCACATTGTGTATGACGTTTCCATACTACACACACACACCGTTCTTCCAGCAGCTCTTCGTTGCGTTTTCTTTTCTGGAAAGTACCTCATTTTGGTAACCATTGTCGCTAACACATTGTACGTAACGGTTATGGTTTTAATCTAGGCTCTGGATTACCCATAATTCCAAGTCGTACTGTATAAAATAAAATACATTGTTATTTTAAGATCTTTATTGCAGTTGAAACATTTTATGTGTATTTTTTTACCAGTCGTCTAACAGACTATACACAGTTATTAACATAGTAATTAAAAGTACCACCGTCTGCTTTGCTATTGATGTCGTGTTTAAAAGGCTCACCATCATGTTGAAATCTGGTATGTGTTGGGGTATAAATAAGGTCCAGTCAGCTCCTTTTGTATCAAGTAGAATTAAGACAACTTTTTTGCACCATTACATCTGCAATGAGACTTCCTAGTCCACAATTACATAGGGTGGCCACCCAGGTGTCAGTGTCGGGGCCCTTAAGAGGTCCGGGGCCCCTAAGCCACTGCAGTCTCTGCTAACCAATAGTTATGCCATTGATGTTCCTGTCCTATCAGCTCGACTTTGTTTTTTTACTATTTTAATTCAAAAATACTTTTTAGCATTTATCTCGCCTCCCTTCGAAAAACCCAAGATTTCTGCTTAAAAAAAATGTAGCAACGAAATTGTATCATATGCTACTACGACCCGCCATACATAGGGCGTCCTGTCTTGCGGGCTGTAAACAACCCCCTCTTCAATCGAGAATCCACCATCTTTCTCTTTTGTGCGTCATGCGTAACAGGAGAAGCCCCGCCCCCGGCCTGTCTCTCACGCACCAGTTACGTCTGACCGTAAAAAATAGAAACTTCCAAGATGGCCGAGTCCGTGGACTCCATGCATTTCGCTGCGAACAGCAAAACAAATTCTCCAAAGCCCCTGCTGGCAAAACGACCGCCCGAGAGCCGTCCGCAGTCTTCCAGCGACATTTTCCCTCCCACCCCGAAGAAGGTCCGAGTGGAGGAGAAGGGTCTGAAGCACAGGAAACTGAACGGAGAGGTGTGCGCAGGGGAAAAACACAACGGGAAGCAGAGTTGTGGAAGCCCAGCGAAATGGAGTTTCGGCCCGGCCAAGGCGAGCCACTCCACCGCCTCCGCGATGCCAACCACCCCTGTTCGGAAAATCTTCAAAATCAGCAACTTCCTTGCGTCGCCCCCCAAAGTAAAAAAGGCGAAGGAGAAGCGACACAAGGAGAAGGAGAGAAGCAGCGAAGCCCCGCGGAGCTCCGCCGCCGCCGTGGAGAGAGTGAGCCCCGCTAGCTGCCATACAAAGACGGAGAACGGCGACGTGAAAACGCTGCAGAGAGGTAAGACAACGCGGCCTGCCTGCTTCACAGGGCTCCATGCTATTCTACTTCACATTACAATACAACCCTTTTATTCACAAATCCTCCTACGTAATGTTTTATTGACTTATTTGACATTTTGACGCACATCAGGCCTCTGTTTTATCGGGCCCATATGGTGTGTATACACACGTGGAAATGTTTCCTCCTGAATTATTTGTTTTTAAGTTTGCAACAGAAACGTTTCAAGCTACAGTTTCTTTCCCCTAGATCACGATGTGAAGGAAAAAGACAGACAGAAGAAGAAGGAAAAGAATAAAGAGTGGAAAAAACACAAACTACCACCTGCACATGACATAGTAAGGGAGAATGGAGAAGCCATGACCCACCAGAAAGGTAGGCATTTATTCATAACTTGAAATTAATTAACTGATTGTGGTGGTGTAGTTGTGTTCTGGGTAGTTATTATATGAATTAAATCAAATCAAAGCTGTTTTGGTTTCATTTCATGTAATCAGTTAAAGAGAAAGAAGACAAAACTGGATAATAAGTTTATAAGCTGAAAACCTGAAAATCCACCCGTGAGAAATCATGGTTCATTATTTTGTGCGCTTGATGTAAACAGTTTTTGTTTATGTTCACAGAGTCTAAAGAGATCCTCAGTGTTGGGTCCGAGGAAGAGCTGCTGCTGAAGAAACTCAAGAAGAAGAAGAAAAAGAAGCACAAAGAAAGCGAGTGGGTGAAGGAGAGACGCAGCCGGCCCAAAATGTACCACCGATCCTGCCAGACTGTGTGCACGGGGATGCCCCTGGGTCTGCCGGAGTTTCTCGGACAGATCAACGGAGACAGCAGCAGCAGTGGCGGTCTAATCCACAGCACTACATCACCACACTTCCAGGATCCTGTTTCTGCTGTCACCATCCCATCCATGGTCAGGGATAGGTTCAGCTACAGCTGCACCTCGTCAGCAAGCCTCCCCGGGCTCGAGTTCAGCCGTCTGATCCACATCGAGCAGCAGGCCAATGGAGGCGCCTCTGTGGTGCACGCCTACACCGAGGAGCTCTCCTGTCTGTCTCCAGCAGAGATGGAACGCTTCGCAGAAGAGTTTGTGAGCCTGTCATTCAGTGAGGATGGGGCCCAAGCTGCACGCTTTGTGATGGGAATCATCCACGGAGCGGCTTCTTACCTCCCAGACTTCCTGGACTACTTCTCCTTCAAGTTCCCCAACGCAACAGTGAAGATGGAAGTGCTCGGGAAGAAGGACATAGAGACGACAACCATGGCCAATTTTCACTCTCAGGTGAGGATGGGAGTCTTTTGATCTGCACTAGTTTTGATATTTTGAAGCCGCTTTGTAGTGTTTGAGCAGCTCAGTTGTCACAGCCTGAAGCAACATCCCACAGTTTGTGTCCAGACTGGGTAGATCCTTTCAAGCTCCGCTGCAACGTCTCTTTATCTTTTCTTGTGTGTTCAAAAGAGATCGGTTTTCAGGTAGTCTTGTAAGGCTGAGTTCTCTGATGTTTGGTTTAAACAATCACTGTCTGTGATGTTCATTCAGCTTAGATGCTACTTGGAAAGGCTCATGGTAGAGGTGATGCACATCTGGATGACTGTTTATATTGCTTGTTCTATATGTCACATAGGCATTTCCGTGCTGCCTTTTGTTTGTTTTATATTTTTTCCTTATTTTGTTGCATCTTCCTTTTTTAGTCTTCTTGGTTTCCTAATCTGTTATGTATATGGGTGTTGTAGAAACGGGCTCTGACAGTGGTCTAAATAGAAGAAAATAAAGGGAAGAGGTCAGGTACTTCGACGTAATGTGAAAGTAACCTGTTAGTGTTACTTTCAGTTTTATCTATCGCTGGGCAGTTAAATGCATTTGAAGTGTATATACAATTAAAAGGCAACTTTCAAATCACAGAGGCGATTGAATATTGGTTACATTACATTTAACAAAGGTAAGACTGATTTCTTACTGCAACATTTAAGGTGTTTTTAAATACGATTAAAGTGGGTTTGTTGCCACGAAGGATGGTAGAGAGTAGCAGCAAGCATGCAGGTCCACGCACCCGAGAGAAAGTAGGAATTTTTCAACACAGCAGTAGCGTTAAAGTCCTAAGACAACGGACTCTGGATGGACAAGCTTTCAAGGTCATGAACAGAAGGAAAACCCTGGAGTAAAGCGTGTACGTGTTGTTGGTTAGTGAAGAGGAAAATAAAAATGAAAGTGCAATAGTGATGGAAAAATGGTAATTTTGATTTTTGGAAAAATCGTTCAGGCATATTTTCAAGCACACAGCATACTGGGTTGAGTGAGTTTTCCTCAGTGCAGGCGGAAACTTCAGGGGTTTTTTTGTTTTTTGTTGCACACTGTAAGATTTTTTTACCGTTTCCAGTCCGATTCTCCGGTCATGTGGGAAATAATTCGATGGGGCCGAGTTTCGGCCTCATCGAGCATAGTGTAGTAGAGTCCTGCAACGGGTCGGGTACGCGCGGGTCCCTGACAAGTCACCCGCTAAAATGCTCTTTTGCGGGTGAAAAATACATAAATAAAAATAAACCTTTGGGGGGTCAGGCGGATATTTTTTTAGTGCGGGCGGGTAGTTGGTGATTTTTTTTTTATGCGTGTGTGTTGTTATGGACATCAGAAATGTTATATTAATCAGGCACTGGGGTCACCCTTGTTGTAGCTTAAAGCCTTGCTGGCAGTGTGTGCTTCCCTCCAAAAAGGCCACAGTCAGTGCATACACGTCTGCTGCAGTGTTAATGGCGCTGTTCTGCAGTGCAGCGTACTATAGCCTATTACTTGATGTGTTAACGGGTCGGGTTGCGGGTTAAATATCAACGGGTCGGGTCGGGTTCGGATTTGAATTGAAGATATCCGCGGGTGAGGGGTCGGGTTCGGTATTCATCCTAACGGGTTCGGGCGGGTGCGGGTTGGTAAAACTCGACCCGTGCAGGACTCTATAGTGTAGTGTACAGGAGGGGTGATAGGCCTCTCACGACCACCTCTCAATCAGGAATCTCAAGTTAGGGAGAAAATTGAACATGTTTGAAATTCAGCCGGCCTTGTGAGGTGCAAATCCTGCTGTTGAAGCAGAGTTAAGAGTATCAATGAGCAGATTTACCAGGACCCCACGCACTGCTCATGTGCAAACAAATGAGTTCTTCTTCCTGATTGACAAGTGCAACCAGAGCCATGTCTCGGCTCGGAGTCCAACATGTGTTTTTTGGACGTGCAGTGTGAGCAGTTAGATCACATCAGAGCGTTGGGCCGTTCAGTGTAAGAACATGCACCATGATCTGTGAATTTTTAAACCCTGCGATTTCATCGAACAGTTTGAGCTGTAGCTGAATACGATTGACTATCTCGTACAGCGTATGCCCGGCCTTAAATGCAGGCAATTTAATCCCTGTCATTGCTACAGTATTTTGGTGTCTGTTGCGTTTACACCTGCTATAGCATTTGAACAATCTGTGGGTCATGCTTAGCTGGTTATCACTGTTCTACACTCTTAAATGTAAATATTGTCTTCCTGCGTTAATTAAACAAGGTGGGCCGGGTTTTTCCCCGGGTTTTTTTTTTAGTTGTTCCCCTTTTGCCCCTTTTTTTTTTTTTTTTTTTTTTGTTATTGGGGCCGGTCCTTTTTTTTTTTTCTCCCATGTTGAAGCATTATACATGTCTCCGCTTAATCTGCGAACTATCAGATTGACCCAGAGTTGTTGCTCTGATCCACCTGCAGCTGCACCTACAAGAGCTTTGAGTCTGATGGGTGCAGAGCTCACATTTTCACAGCGCTTTTCTCATCTGTATGTGCAAGTAAGGTAAAAAAAAAACAGTTTTCACCTCCTTTGCACTGGTTAAAAGTCAATGTTTTGGCATAATTTTAGTGTAATTTTGACAACACTGGAGGAGTAAACCTGAATGTCAAAGATTCAAAAGTTAGCGTAGCGGTCTGAATTCAGCATAGTGAGAAACATTTTTGGCAAATACTACACTGAATTAAACTGACGAGAACCCTGGCAGATGTGCAATAGATTGTTTTTAAAGGTGTTATGTGAGGGCGAGACTCTTTTGATAGAAACGTTTTGTCCTGTAGTGCAAATTGTCATTAAAAATCTTGAATTAAATACTTGCCATCTATTTCAGCCTTATTATCGCAACTCTTAGCCTGGGATAAAGCCAAAATTAAAGGATGGGAAATTATTTAGTTTGACCTAATCTTAAAAACGTATGTCATTAAAATAAAGAACTTTTCAAGTTTCGGTAAAGGTTGAAATGGGAGGGATGCTCTGCTATGATTGGTGGTTACAGTTGGAGGGTGCTGTGTGATTGGTTGCTGAGGAGGTTTGTTTGTTGACTATCAGCAGCGATTTACTGGATTAACTCTCTGTCAGTTGGAGGACGGCCCAGTAGGGACGATTCAAAACGTAAGTCCAGCCGTCACAGTTGAAATGTCAGACTGAATTGAGATTATGCCATTAAACACTAACATTGTAAATGAGCAATAATTTAATTTGAACAACAACCTCCTGACTAATTCTCCCTGGAATTGGAGACCGAGGGAGATTTCCATGCTTGTCTCAGATGTCTAGATTTAGTAAAATCCTGGTCTGTCCATTCCTACTTTGGCTGTTTCAGATTTCTCTTTCGGTTCATCTTAAATTAAAGCTATCAGAATGCTTTGAAGTTTTTAACATTAACATATTAAAAAAATACATCTACACCCACAATTATTTATACGGGCATCTCTTAAAAGAGGAGAAAATATTTTTTATTTTTTTTCTCCTGAATTTAATCAGGTTAAGTTTCTGTATCTGTGTAACACCAGTAGATGCTGTAATAATGTAATATTCATTATTGGAGCTACAGATGGAAATTAGCATTTTAATAAATCTGCCACATTTACCACTACTTTCATTAAAGCCTCTTTCCCACTGAAAACAGGGTGTTAACACAGGTTTTTTTTTAAACATGGGTCGACCTGTTAAAAATCGGCATTTAGCTTCCTTCCCGCTGTCAAAAAAAGCTGTCTAACCCCTCGCTGGCAAGCTGTGTGGCCTCTTTCCCCCCACAGCTGCGAGTCTGGTGACACCGTCACCCTGAGTTAGCATTGATGCTGTCCCCGTTGCGACAGAAATCAGGAAAGTAAACAATGTAGAGCAACATGAAGAAAGTCAGGGAATAGTATGTGTGCTTTATTGTTTTGGTTTTTTTGTCCCTCTGAATCTTTTTCACCAGAGCTACGCTATTTTTGTTGAATGTAAACAGAGTTTTAGATCAGATGGGACTGCCGCGGTGTGTTGACGTCCTTGTGTTTAATGGCATCACGTAATTTAGCACGTCAACCCGACTTTGGTGTTCCAACAACATGTCGATCGGAGCCGAGGCGATTTTTAACCTGGGTCGCTTGCTGAGTCGTTTGACCCGGGTAGAGTGAGCTGTTCCCACTGCCACTAAAAGGCGATTGTTCCGGGTCTAAACTGGTATTTCAGCCAGTGGGAAAGAGGTATAATGTGCACATCCTTTTTTAGAATAAAATCGTTCTATTAAAATCCTTCAGCCTGCTGGACATAGGTAATTTCCAGATTGCCTGATTGGGTTTAAATCTACTCTACCACACCTTTGTTGTAACTATAAATAACTTCTGAAGTTTGTTTTTATTTATGATCAATAAATTATTTATATTAGGACTAGGAGGCGACACCCACCTAGGGTGAAAAAGAGTAATAGCATTGCAGTTAAACAAGGTGTCACTGTTACTTCAACAACATGGCAGATTTTTGCCCTTTCCGGGATGATCCAGGCGTACGAGAATTTTTAGATCAGGCCGACTTTCAGCCTCGTATTGCGTTGAGTTTTGTACAGGGGGTAAGAAGGGGCGAGGAGCCTCTCGGTACCAACTCCGGATCAGGGATCGCAAGGTGGAAAAAAAATAAATAAATAAATTCTGTCGGCCGTCGTAAGATTGCATCAGAGCATCGGGCCCCACAGTGTGAAAACATGCATTGTGAGCTTTGAACTTTTAAACCCTGCGGTTTCGGCGTACAGTTTGAGCTGTAGCTGCGTGCAATGATTGAAAATATCGTACAGTGTATGCCCAGCCTAAGTCTGACTCTTAACAGCACTCATAGTCCTACTTTCGATTGGATGACATTTCATTGCAATCGATTCTCACTACTGATAAAGCCCAATATGCTGCATAGAGAGAGTTGTTAACGTTTCAATATCTGGATTGAAGAAAATGTTTATTCATCAGAGCTCATTTCATCATCATCCTCATCGTTTGATTTGCTAAT